TGGGGAGGATGTAACGACCCGACCCGTCGTATCAGGTATTACCGCCCCATTTTCCTCATTTATTGCTTCTTCATGGTTCATTATCAGCAACGAGTGAGTTAGAGTTGAATTGAATTGGTTTGGATAGGAAATGAGACACTTAGTCTCTTTAAGGAAGGCTTAAATTGAAAAAGTTAACCGGACGTTGACTTATGAGTTCGAAGGTTCGGATGTAATTTCCGATGATCCGGTTAGCTTCGGGAGATGATTTGTGACTTGGGAGCGTGATCTGAATTGGTTTTGGAGGTCCGGTGTAGAATTAGGCTTGAATTGGCGAAGTTAGCATTTTGGCGAAATCCGGTTGATAGGTGAGATTTTGATCCGAGGGTCGGAATGGAATTTTGAGAGTTGCGGTAGCTTCGTTAGGTGATTTTGGATGTGTGTAAAATTTCAGGTCATTCGGACATCGTTTGGTCAGGTTTTTTATCGAAAATGCATTTCGGAAGTTTTTGAAGAACTTAGGCTTGAATTCGATGAGATTTGATGGTTTTAGCGTTGTTTGATGTGTTTTGATGATTGGAACAAGTTTGAGTGATGTTATGGGATAAGTTGGTGCTTTTGGTTGAGGTCCCGGGGGCCTCGGGGTGATTTCGGGTGGTCAATCGGACCATTTCTAGTCTTATAGTATTGCAGGTTTTCAGCTGTGTTGTTGCAGAAGTGTTGTTCATCGCGTTCGCGTGGGGTGTGTCGCGAACGCGTAGAGTAAATTTGAGAGGCCTGGAAAATGGCCTTCGCGTTCGCAGCCTTAGGAGTGCGTTCGCGATGAGGAGTTGTGCAGACCATCGCATTCGCGAGGGCTGCTTTGTGTTCGCGTAGAAGGGGCCTGGGGTCCTGCCTGGTTTGTGCATCGCGTTCGCGGTTGGTCGAATGCGTTCGCGTAAGAGGGTGAGCTGGAGCATCGCGTTCGCATACCTGGAGTCGCGTCCGCGTAGAGGTAATTTGTGGTCAACGGAATTTGTTCATTGCGAACGCGGGGGTGTTGACCGCGTTCGCGTAAGGTAAAACCTGGGCGTCCAGAGGGCTTTTTATATTATTTCATCCGCGACCCCATTCATTATTTCCTCCATTGTTGACCACCTTAAGAGCTTTTTGGTAGAAATTGAAGAGGATTTTGACGGGAATTGATTGGAGGTAAGTCTCGTGACCTAGAAACGTCATTTTATTGAAGAATCAACCTTTAATTCATGGAAATTGGAGTAAAAATTGGAAGAGCTAGGGCTTGAGTTTTTATATTTTCAAATTGGGATTTGGTAGGTCATTTGAGCTCGGATTTGGGAGTTCTTGGTATGTACGGACTCGTGGCGAGACGAGGAATCCGGTAATGTAAGTTTCGTAATTTTTCGAGAAGCGGGCCCGGGGCTCGGGTTTTGCTAGTTTCGAGATTCTTGCTAATTTTCGATTGTTTTCGATTGGGTATTGTTCCCTTAGCATATTGTGACGTATTCGCTCTGATTTTGGTTAGATTCGACGTGCGTGGAGGCCGATTTGAGGGGCAAAGGCGTCGCGAGCTAGGGATTTCAACCGGTCGAGGTGAGTAATACTTGTAAATGATATCCTGAGGGTTTGAAAACCCGGATTGCACATCATAGTGCTTGTATTGTGTAACTTGCACGCCAGGTATGAGCGTGGGGATAAGCACCGTTGGATTGTGACTTGGTCCGTCCCGGTTGTTGATTTTACTGCGTAACTGACTGAAACCTACTGATGCTATCGTGGTTTGGTGTTGATTGCCATGTTTTGGGCTTGTGCCGATTATTTAAATCCTTTAGGGATTATTATCACTGTTTTCATGACGCTTAGCATATTAAAATGATTTTCAGTCCTGAGTTAAAACCCTGTTTTGAAATGTGCAGTCATATTGTTAAAGTTTAAAGACTTAAATTGTATTTTTCTGATATTTTGAGTTAAAAGCTATTACTTGACATTGCCCGAGTGGCTCATTTGCATGTTCTGGACTGAGGATGGATCGGGCTGCACGCCGCAGCGACCGCTATGATGATATTGCGCTTGGGCTGTAGGAGCCCCTCCGGAGTCTGAACCCCCACAGTGAGCGCGTGGTACCCAAATGGATCGGGCTGCACGCCGCCCAGCGGTCATGTGCATTGCATGCATTCATGCATTGTTTCTTGTTTGTTACTACGTGGCATGACATTCAGCACTCTCATATCATTGGCATCCATGCTGTTCTTGCACTGCGTACCAGATACCCTGGTGTATTTGTTAATAGAGTGCTGTGCCCTAGGGGCTGACTTATGCGGACTTGCACTATCTGATTACGCATTCATTTGCTTGACTGTTGGAAAAGGATATTTTCAAAAAGTGGTTTTTTAAACTGACAGTATTGTCTAAAGATTTTCACTTTTTACTTTTTCTCAAAAGAGTGGTACTGTCCTATATAGCATGATGGAGTGCTCTTACGTGATTTCTTGCCTCTCAGTTATTATTTACTCTTATTACCACTGAGTTGGAAGTACTCACTTTACTCCCTGCACCTCGCGTGCAGTTGCAGGTATTGTTCACCCGGTAGCGGGTTATTAGCTGATTGAAGGTATGGCTATTGTAGCTGAGTAAGGTGACCGCCAGCGTTCGCGACACCGGATGTTGTCTTTTGATTTCCTGGATTTTTCCTTTCTTATTATTATTGGCCCTGTAGTTGTGTTCAGGTTTCTTTAGATGCTCGTGACTTGTGACACCCCGGTCGGGTTGTGTTGGGTTGTACATACTGGTTATTTATTGTTCGTTAAGCTTATATTTTATCTATACATTTATGTTTAATAATTGTTAAAGAAACGGATTGGGTTAGTTGGCTGGCCTTGTCTTCACGAGAGGCGCCATCACGACCGGGTATGAAAATTGGGTCGTGACAAGACGACTCTTCTTGTCCAACAGAGATAGAATATATTGTTGAAAAAAGGTACATGTTTAAAGTTGAGGCTAAGAGTTCCAACAATCAGAATCAAGATGAAGTCTTCAAAGTTGTTACGCTTACTGATGACGAGGAAATTATAAAGAAATACATTCCTTCTCCACACAAAGTATGTTTCTATACTCAATTTTTCTCAACTCCTATTTGTAATTGAAATAAATTTTAATTATGATACATATTTTTTTATAGGATCGGGATTTCAATAATAACAAAGTTAATCATGAAGATAATGAAATCACTAAGAACTGTCTTCTTAGTTAGTTTATTAGTTTTATTAGTTGAACAAGATGTTTGGATTATTTCACGTTTTTCCTGGTATTGAACTTTTCCTGTTTAGTTAGTTTGGTATTTTTATTTGTTATGGACAAAATATTTGAATTAGTTCATGGTTAGTTTATAAGAGAGGAAGAATAGATAATTTCTCTGATAGTTTTCTTGCCCAATATGAGTTCTGCATAGTATGATACATCATCTAATTCTACAGTGGCGTACGGGGACAGTTATTTCATCTGCATATTTCTTCATGGACCTTCACAATAAGGTTCAAAGTAACAACAAATAGGTGACAAAAGATTCGGTGTACCATTCTTACTATGAAGCAAATAACCAAAATACATATATGAAGGCATATATTTACCCTTCAAAGTCTCTGAATACACATAGGAATTAAAGCCTTCCACCAAATGATGTGTTGTTAAATCTGCTTTGTCTTCCAAGGGAGAAAAATATTTAGGATAAGTGAGAGAACATTTCACCCTAGGTCTGATGAGAGCGTTGGGGTATTACAATCAATATTGATCTCAAGGCTACTGGATCTAATTTGTACTTAGCAATTTAAATTATTTTGCCATAACTTGATAGGAGCATATTTTGTAACATCAACTTAGAGTTGAGATACTCTAAGTTTGTCATGACACCAACTACAATTGTGGTGGGAATAGGAGATTCTATATCAAGACTTGGCATAGGTTATGACATTTATTGGTACATTTCAAGGAAAGTAGCTGAAACATTTAAGCAAATGGCAGTAGTTACTGGCCAGGAGATGCATAAGTATGACATCATCCGCGAGACAATTATTTAATGCAAAAGTTAATGGGAATATTGGGTCTCTTTAGCATGCGCAAAAGCTATGGGAAGGGCACTGAATAAGTTGATGCAGAAATTGTCTTTATTTTGTGAAGGAAATGAACTTCAATCCCTCCAAAGGGAAATGTAAGACTGCTCTTTACTTGATTATCTATATTGATTTTATTTGAATTTGATACAAATTTTATCCTTGACCTTTGCGTGAATGTATAAATATCGGTGGTCCCTAGCATAGATACAATCCTATAATGTCCCTAGCTTACATACAATCCTATGAAATTCATATATTTATTTTTCAATTTAATTCTTTTGAGTGTGATCCCTAAATTTAATCTACAATATAAACCTATATCTACTAAATCATATTTTTCTTTAAAACAATTCGCGCATCACGTGGGTAGGTATAATAGTTTATTATCAAAACGCCTGAAGTCTGTATTTGTTAAGTTTTGGACATTTATTCTTCAGTTGAGTTTTTTTACTTTTTTTAGGGCCGAGACGTTGTTAGTTACAGTATATATCAGTGCAAAAAATAAAAATAACGCCAAAAAATTTTAAAATAAAAAGAGTAAAAGTCAGCTAGCGATGGAAATATCTAGAGGCAAAAGGAAACTCACGATATAGCAAGTCAAATAATCTAATAAATCTAGAAGTTCATAAATTCTATCCGGTTACAAATAATTCACAAGCCAATACCAATAAAATACGGCCAGCTCATCTAAAATCAACGTGGCATATGACTACCTTAGGAGATCATGGAGATAACCTGTGTCCCATCGTATCCAATCCCTTACCATGAAAAATATTGTCAGAAATGACGACGTGGCAAGAAAGGAAGAAAATCTAGACATCTTAATTAACCAACGTTTGCGCGCGAAGCATCTCGAAAACCGTAGAACTTCTCGAATTTCCCAAGTCATTTCATAAGAGTATAAATAGAAATATGGGGAAGCAACTAATCAGAGAAAGAACATTTGATTTTCGGAGCAATTACAAAGAGAGAAGCAAAGTTCGAGCACTAAAGAAGTTGGGTTTGTTGGGTTGGTGGATCGATTTGTACCGGAAACCGAGTCATCTGGATTTGTGGAACCGATTGGACGGAGCCTTTCTTCTTTCTTAAAAGTAAGTTTAGCTTTAATCTTTCTTTTTTATTTGGTTGTGTGTTCATATGCTGAAATGATGGCTGAATTTCCTTTTTTTTTTATTTTATTGTAATGGAGTTTTTGGGTATTCTGTCAGTAATATTTGGCCAGGAATGCTCTGTTATTTTGCTGCCACTTTCAGATACTTGCAAATTTGTCTGATGTAATAATAGTACTTTGTATATGTAAAAAATGTTTAAAATTTAAAAAATTTGACAAACGGATTTTTTCCTTATAAGATCAAAACTAAAGGGGCGAATGGTTGTTATAGTTGTTAGATGTGTTAACCATTATAGCTGGGACTGTATTATCTTTTTGAGACTGAGGGGGGTTGTTTGATAATTATAACATTGTCTTGTTATTTGGGTTAGAGGTCTGAAGATGGATTTCTCTTATTTTGATGATGATTTGGATTAGAAGTATTGTTTTGAGCATACTGATTGAATAAAAACAGTCCTGCCATCTTCCATTCAAAGAAATTAAAAGGTGTGTTGGAATTCGCATTAATGGGTGTTTAAATATTGTGCCTAAATGCTGTTTCTTTTGCATGTCTTGAACTTGTAGTTGTACAATTTCGTGGGTGTATCACTTAAAAAACTATGTAGTGTCCAAAGATTGTTCAAACAATATATACTGTTTTGGTGACAGATGAGGGAAAATGTGAATGTAAGTAAATGCTCTTTAAAACAGTACGCATGGTTTGGAACAATCTTAGGACATTACATATTTTAGTAACAGATGAACGAAAATGTTTACTAATATAAAGAAAGGCTTTGTAATAGGCTCATAGTCTTAGGTTGTCTTGCTAGAGGTGATGGAGATGATTAAGCCTGGTTTTAGATCTTTCCCACAACTGCAAGTTTTATGCAGAGCTGCTTCTTTTTTTTTTTAATCTCCTTTGCTTGTATTCCTTTAATTCTTTTCCTTCTTTTTTGAGGATTAGCTGAAGTCTTAGTATTCTTCTTTTCCTATAGGTAACCGTATACTTAAAAGAGAAGCTTAAATTTGGACCTGCATTTGAACCAAGCTACCACAATTTACTCCTAGATATAGAGGATGTATCCCATGTACAGGTTCATGGACACACATCCTTACCAAAGGAATCAAGTACCTCATGATCCACCTTATTACCCCCAGTTCGAACCGAATCATCATCATTTGAACATTGATCCAGCTAGATCTTCTGTAGCTTATAAAACCTGGCCTTGTGTTGGTAACTATGGGCATCCTTATCCACCCCCTTGTCACAATTGTTGTATCCATAACAATTCCCCAAGCGAGTGTGCATTCAGTCCTCCTTATCCCTACTTTCCACTGCCTCTCTACAGCAACTGTAGCTATCCAGCATATCCGATGGTGTATGCTGCTAATTGTGTTCCTCCACATTTTACTATGGATCAGCCTCGGTACGAATATGATAAGAATATGGGAATTGGTCATCACTGCTGTGGCTGTCCAAATCATTCATGTAATAAGAAAGGAGGGAACAACGTTAAAATAGAAGAACAGGACCAGGATAAGAAAAATGAAAGCAATGAGTCTTTGGTTCCTTTTGGGTTCAAGAATTGTCCTTATCCTGTTCTGTGTATGCCACCTGATTATATGAAGAATAGCGCGCACGTGAAGCCTAATGGATTTGAAGGTAAACGGGATGAGGTGAAAGATGTGAAACCGTATGGTGATTGCAGATCTTTCGAACAACCAAATATCTGGAATGTATGGTCTCCTTATCAAGGGAACAACTCGGAATTACCAAAGCAAAGGGGAGATCCACCCAGAAAACAACACCACGATGATATGAACAAGAAACAGTTTCCATTTCCAATAATCTGGATGCCTTACAAACCTGAGGAAACAGACGGCAAAGTTAGCAAGGAGACTGGTGTTGATCAAGAGCAGACCTCCCCCTTAAAATCTACCATACCAAAGTTACATGATGTTGAAGAGGAAAGAAGCGATTCTAGAGAAAAGGAAGTGAATAGTGGAAGTGAAATCCGCGGAAAGGGACTGAATAAAGATTCTGTTACGAAAATCATTCCAGTAAGGCAAATGGAGCAAATTGAGGATGTCTTGGATGGAAAACCGGAAGATGCTTCCCAACAGCATGTTGTTGATGCTAAAGAGAAGAAAACAACTGAAGACGGTGGCAAAAAGCAGTCGTCTACTCCTACAAAGTCATCCAAGCTGCCCCCTGTTTGTCTAAGAGTTGATCCCCTGCCTAGGAAAAAAAGCAGTAATGGCATTTCTAGGTCCCCTAGTCCTCCTGGCGTGAAACGGAAATTAGTAGAATCGCCAAGTGACAGCTCCAAATCTCCCATCTTATCGAATGAGAAGGAGAATGTTCATCTTGACAAATCATCCACAACAGGTACGCCGGAGAAAAGCATAGAAGTGGAACCAAGTAAAGGAAAAAGAAAAGTTGTTGAGGTTGCCCTAGGGACTAGCAAAGAAGATAAACTTCAAGATCAATATACGGTTTTCCCTGATCTGAAAGGGAAGGCAAGGGGCCAAAGAAGTGAGGGTGATACTAGTAAAGCAACCAATGAGCTCAAGCATCAACCTGATGGAGCAGCAGCAGGAGCTCAGTCCAACAATCAAGGACATCAGATTGGTGAGGCCAGAGAAGCAGCAAAGGGAAATGAGGGTGTAATTGTGTACATGAAACCAGATAGGAGTAAGCTGTCTGATGATAAGGCGGCTACCGTGATTCAGTCGGCATACCGAGGGTTCAACGTGCGGAGATGGGAGCCTCTGAAGAAATTAAAGCAGATAACTAAAATAAAGGAGCAGACGGCTGAGCTTAAAAACTGTATTCAGGCTTTGGAGAGCTCAGCTGACAATGTAGCTGACAACAAACAGAGGACTATTCTCACAGAAGCCGTAATGGGTCTTCTGCTGAAGCTTGATGCTATTCAGGTATGTGAATGAACTAACATACCCAAAACATCATTCAAAATATGATCTATCTTCTTCTATATCCATTTCAGTGGGACAGTTATGATAGCAGAAGCTGTGAATCTTTATTTTGTTTTTCTTACTTCGAAACTCAGCTAAGATGAAAACTCTGATTGATTATGCAAAATCAACTTGATTATATTGCTTCTTTACTCCATGATTCGTATTGTGTCATGGTTTTCGTTTAATTTTGGCTTACTGTTTAAATCACTTGACTTTAAAGATTCCAATGTACCTGTTGGCTAAGTTTTCATTTGTGTTTTCACGTCTGAACTGACTAAGTTTTTGGTGATAAATTCTTTTTCTTCTATTTTTCTTTTCAAGTAACTGAATCACCTATATCCTAATTTTAATATACTTCCCCAGGGGTTACATCCAACTGTTAGGGAATTTAGAAAATCTGTAGCAAAGGAGCTTGTTAGCCTGCAGGAGAAGCTGGATCATCTGAACTGTAAGAAGCAACTGGCAGAAAGTGAACAGGCTTTAACTGATCAATCCAGCGGGGATGCATGCAGGACGGTGGAAGACAACATTTCCATGCAGGGAGGCCAAGAGGTGCCAAAGTTTGAACAGGATGGCGATTTAGCGCAGGGGGGTGAAGGAATAAAGTTACATGCAAAGGAGCCCTGTCAAGAGCAGCCTCTTTGTGCGGCAGAGACACTGCCCAACTCTCATCACGTAGGCAATGCAGAGGAAGTGGTCGGTAAAGAAGAAAGTGAGAATGTTGAGGAGGTGGTGGAGAACTTTTCAAGTGGTGGTGCAGTGGAGATGGTGGATGAGGCAACAGAATCACTTTCTGAATCTAAAGAAAATTTGAATGATAAGTCACCTGATGAGAATGCGGTAGTAGTTGAGAAATCAGAAGAGCACGACAAAGCTGAACAATCTTTGCTAAATCCTATTCCATTTTCTGTGGAACTAACAGAAAATTTGGGTTTAGAGGTCAGAGGTTGTGGTTTGAAGGAGAAAGGTGAAGGTGTTGATGAATTGGAAGAGCTCCCGCGAGGAGTCCTTGATGAAGAGACTAGTGTTCAAGGGTCTACTGAGATCAGAAAAGACGAGGTCCTCCAACATGACAATGGAAACCTTACTGCTCATATTCCTGAAGAAAAAGTCTCTGATACAGAGAGGCGAGGGCATCACCACTTGGAAGCATTAGGTGAAACACTAGTTGTTTTGGGGCCAATGAACATGCACAGCAGCAATGGACAAAAAGAAAATTCAGAAGTACTGGAAACAGATAAAACAGTACGAGTTGACGCTACAGAACAGGAGAAAGAAGCTCTCAGACCATTAAATGAAGATGGGAAGATCTCTGATGTTGATGATAAGGTTGGTATGGAGGATGGCGAGGAACGTGGGCAATGCGGCACTGGATCAGATGCGTTTCCAATATACTCACAGGAAGAAACAATCACCATGAAGCAGTCTACAGATGCCACCAACATGGAGGAATTGGAAACAACTGAAGTTCTGCAGGAGAAAATGCAAAATGCAGTAGAGAGAGACATTGAAATCCTTAATTCAAAAAACCCCATTGAACTGTCAGCAGAACCTCAACTTTCTACTGCTACCATTGACGTGGTCAAAGAATATTATGCTCAGGATATGCAGAATGTTGGGGAAGAAAATATGGAGGCGCAAGGTGAGGAATTGCCTGCTCGCAGTGATGCTTTGGTCTCTGTACTCAATAGTGAATGCAAAGAGAATAATGTGGAGGTTGAGCAGAGGCATCTGGAGGAAAACTTTGAGATGCAAGAGGAAGAACCAGTGGCTGCTGATAACGCTGCACCGGTGACCAAGGAACCAATGGATGAAAGTATAGTGATGGCTGCTCCAAAATCGGAAGCTGCAACTACTGATACGCAGCTGTTAGGGGAGAAAGAGCTCAGTGCAGCAGAGGACCGCAGCACATATCCATCGACATGTGATACTGTGGAAGGTAATACAGCTGGTGCTGTCCATTCTTTTGGTTCTACGCCTAATGAAGTACGAGTTATGGATGCAAAGGAGCTTAAAGAATGGAAGAGGGTGGAAATGTCACCATCATCACCTACTGCTAGCCAAGTATCCTTTGATAGTGATGCATTCTCAGAGAGCAGTCAAAAGCTTATAGAAGAGAATGAAAAACTAAGGGAGATGATGGAGAAACTAATAAAAGCAGGGAAAGAACAACTCACTGCTGTATCCAGTCTCTCTGGAAGAGTTAAGGACCTGGAGAAGAGATTGTCCAGGAAGAAGAAGCTGAGATTGAGACGATATAGGGTACCAAGAGCAGGTTCAGTCTGTATGAAGCCATCGAATGACTCACTGAAAGACAGAGCTGCGGGGTTGGCAATGTGAGTACATAAATCTTGGTGAAACCTTGTGATGAGATAGTAGTTTGGTAGATGTGGTCTGTATCTGTGTGTGATTGTATGCTATATATCTGGAATAACAGTTATAAATAAGCCTTTTTCTTCTCAGTTGTTGGCCTTTCTTACCACAGCAAAATTATATCTAAATTAGAATTTCCCTTGAAGAATCATTCTTGTGGTCTCTTCAGATGAGTTAACATTTAACATCTTTTTTCAAATTATGCTTTTCAAGCTTTTAGTTCCGCATTTGAACTAATGATCATACTAAATATATGTAATCAATTGAAATAGATGATCACTTTCCAAACAATAAATGCATGCTATGGAATTACGAAAAGAAGAAAAGAATAGCAACGGTTAAGAAATGAGGTAAAAAGAAATGTAGTATATAAAGTAACTAAGCAAAGTAATACTACGCAAACATCACTAGCTAATATCCACGAAACAATCATCATTCGCATGATTGCCTCTATATATAAGCAAGATCACAAGTTTCATAATAACTACCAAGAGAAACTAAGTAAGAAATATACCTTAAGAGGCTAGCTAGCGTTCAATCTATGCGTAGGAACACATCAATGCCGCCCATCCACCGGCACTTCCATTTATATCCTCCATCATAAAATCTTTATATTTCATGCCAAAGCATTTCCAGTTAAAGCCACCAACTATCGATGTATTCTTCTCCATTACAATTTCTACATCCAACTTCCCCTTGATAATCTTCCTTTTCCATATCTTAAGACTTGCCGATACCTTACGCTCATGATCAGGAGCACATAATTCGTGTTGTCCAGTATCCGTTTTTTGTGGCCATTCCATAAAATGAGAACAAGACAGATAACCATCAGTATCAGTATCGTATTCCCAATCAGTATCATATACAGTTTCCTCTTCTTCGGGATCCAATTTGTATTCAGCAACACCTACTAAATAGTCCGGTGATAAAAAAGTTGCACCTGCCTTAAAAATTTCGAAACGAAGTTTAGAGCTTTCATTGGATGGAACGACGAACACAAACTTTTGTCTCCATTGCTGGGTCTTGATGTTAATCTTACTTGTTTTCAGTTGGTTTTCTTTATGCGTGGAAACTTTCACGTAGCATCTGCCACCTTTTTTGTCACCAAATAGAGCAGATTTTACTTCTACGGTCAGCAATCTATATTTTCCCCCCATGATAACATGTACTTGAGAAGCTGGTTTAAGTGAGTGAACTACTGCTGTTGATTACGAATGGGATGGATTACGTATAAAGGAAGTAGTCTTTTTTCATCTTAATTTACTAGGGTTTTCAAGAGATTTGTTTACAAATATACTTTCTTGAAGAGAAGAACTCCCTAAGTAAGAAATTCACCAATCCCGTGGGTAGTATAGTTAACGTAGGTTACTATTTCTTACTTAAATACCGTAAATTGTAGGGAGGTTCTATGTAAATTGGAATTATAGATTACTAGTAATCGTACCCGCGTGATGCGCGGTCAATATTAAAAAAATATTTATCACTTTGTTAATTTTTAGATGTTATATTTGGAATTATAACAATTATTTGATTATCCTATTCTATGTAAATAGAATAGATATTGTCTAAATTTTAATAAATAAAATCTCTATTAAATTAAAGGGACTTATATAGTCATCAAATAATTTTTTCGTTATGTATTTTTATTTATTATATTATCCAATATTTAGTATAATTATATTGTTAATAGAAATTATGACACTTGTCATTATAACATTTCTTTGCCTCTCCTATTATATATATATATATTATATATTATACATATATTATATTATATTATATTATATTATATTATATTATATTATATTATATATATATAAATAGATTTTTCGTTTTATTTATTTTAAAATAATTTTAAAACTCCAATTTGAAACTACTCCCCAATTTGAATAGTAATTCATTATTTTATTTAATTTTGTTTTTTATTTTAAAACTCAAACTTGAAACTACTCCCACCCAATTTGAATGGGTAGTTATTTTTTATATATTTATTTTTTGTTGTTTTTTTATTATATTTAATTTTAAGATATCTATATTTGTTAAATTCAAATAAAGTAACCAATTAATATATATATATATATATATATATATATATATATATATATATATATATATATATCCTATACGAATGGACTATCTCGCATATTCTTAGTATTTTACAATGAAACTAGTAGTCGTACCCGCGCGATGCGCGGTCAATATTAAAAAAATATTTGTCACTTTGTTAATTTTTCGATGTTACATTTGGAATTATCACAATTATTTGATTATCCTATTCTATATAAATAGAATAGATATTGTCTAAATTTTAATAAATAAAATCTCCATTAAATTAAAGGGACTTATATAGTCATCAAATAATTTTTTCGTTATGTATTTTTATTTATTATATTATCCAATATTTAGTATAATTATATTGTTAATAGAAATTATGACACTTGTCATTATAACATTTCTTTGCCTCTCCTATTATATATATATAGATATAGATTTCTTTGACTCTCCTATTATATATATTATATATTATATATATATTATATTATATTATATTATATTATATAAATAGATTTTTTGTTTTTTTATTTTAAAATAATTTTAAAACTCCAATTTGAAACTACTCCCCAATTTGAATTAGTAATAGATTATTTTATTATTTTATTTTTTTATTTTAAAATTATTTTAAAACTCCAACTTGAAACTACTTCCCGATTTGAATGGGTAGTTTTTCTTCTCTTTTTTCGTTTTTTTATTGGTAATTTTTTTTTTTGCTTTTTATTTTAAAATAATTTAAAAACTCAAACTTGAAACTACTCCCACCCAATTTGAATGGGTAGTTATTTTTTATATATATTTATTTTTCGTTGTTTTTTTATCATATTTAATTATACAATATCTATATTTATTAATCCAAATAAAGTAATCAATTACTATATATATGGTAGCTTTTATTTTATTTTATTATTTTCGTTTATTATATGTATAGTATATATAAATAGATTTTTCTTTTTTTTTTTATTTCAAAATAATTTTAAAACTCCAATTTGAAACTACTCCCCAATTTGAATTGGTGATTCATTATTTTTTTTATTTTTTATTTTATTTTAAAACTCCGACTTGAAACTACTTCCCAATTTGAATGGGTAGTTTTTCTTCTCTTTTTTCGTTTTTTATAGGTAAACTTTTTTTTTTTGCTTTTTATTTTAAAATAATTTAAAAACTCAAACTTGAAACCACTCCCACGAAATTTAAATGGGTAGTTATTTTTTATATATTTATTTTTCATTTTTTTTAATTATATTCAATTATAAAATATCTATATTTATTAATCCAAATAAAGTAACCAACTAATATATATATATGGTAGTTTTTTTATTTTATTTTATTATTTTCGTTTTTTATATGTATATATAAATAGATTTTTCGTTTTTTTAAATTTAAAATTATTTTAAAACTCCAACAAACTACTTCTCGATTTGAATGGGCAATTTTCTTCTCTTTTTTCTATTTTTTATGGGTTAATTTTTTTTTATTTTTATTTTAAAATAATTTAAAAACTCAAACTTGAAACTACTCGCACCCAATTTGAATGGGTAGTTATTTTTTATATATTCATTTTTTGTTGCTTTTTATTATATTTAATTATAAGATATCTATATTTGTTAAATTCAAATAAAGTAACCAATTAATATATATATATATATATATATATATATATATATGTGTGTGTGTGTGTGTGCGTGTGTGTGTGTGTGTGCGTGCGTGTGTGTGTGTGTGTGTTAGTTTTTTATTTTATTTATTATTTTCGTTTTTTATATGTATATTATATATAAATAGATTTTTCATTTTTTTTATTTTAAAATAATTTTAAAACTGCAATTTGAAACTACTCCCCAATTTGAATTGGTAATATTTTTCATTTTTTTATTTTAAAACTTCAATTTGAAACTA